ATGGAGACAGGTCATTTGGGGGGTTCCACTACTTTAGTTCATGAGTGACTCCAGGTAGTAACTACCAAGAGAGAACATCAGATGCTGCTGCTGCTGTAAAATATCTGAAGCATAATGTATGTGTATATGTGTATGTGCATATCTACCAATAATTGAATAATGATTATGTAGCAGAATTTAATATATGTATTAGCCACAATGCCTACAGCAACACAGGAAAAATGACATGTATTGTGATTATCATCTTACAAATGAACAAAGCAAGGTTTGAAGGCAGTATGTTTTTGCTCAATGATGAACACTAGTACTTTTCCCCCAAATCAAGGTCTGGCTGCCTGTAGATTGCATGCTCTTGTCTTTGATGGCCTTCTTCTATATATAAGCACTCAACCCCTCAGGAAGGCACCCGAGTAGAGTGGCCAAGCACCACAGTTCTGGAATCAATTTGTCTGATTTTGAATACCTATTCTGCTTACTGGTGACCTATAGGACTTTGGAGATGTTTTAAAAAATCTGTTTGACCCTTTAGTTATAAATCTGAAAAATATGGATAGTAGTTGGGTTTTTTTTTTAATTCTTGGGAGTTTTACATGAACCATGTGCACAAATATACACAACCATGTCCACAGATAACAAGAAACTACCTATGCCTCCCTTCTTTCTTGGGAAGAACTGTCCAAGGCTGTTCTGGTCTACTTCTCCATGATTTTAACTCTCTAACATTAGACGTTTGGAAAATAATAATAAGGACATCGAAGTTCTCTGGACCACCAATCCTTAGGGAATATTGCTCTACGTAATGAAACTCACCATCTGGCTAATCTTCAGAAGAGTTTGGTTATTATACGTTGGCTCCTGGACCATGGCTCCTTTTGAGGCATTCCTGAGAGTGTGATTTTAACCCAAGAGAATAATGTTACTCTGCTAGTTTAGTGATCTTTACATGAGGATGAAAAGCGTATGTTCTAAGTTTATTTCCATCTACAGTCCATTCTTTGCCGTTGCTTTGTTTTTGTTAAAATGATACAACTCTTTTGTGCAGCACTAAGACTGCACCTAGGAACTTAGGCAGGTTTTGAGAGAGGTGATGAATGAATCTGAGTATCACAAAAAGGAGGAGATACTCAAAAGAGGCCACCAGAGGAAAATCATGAACTAGAGATCAGTGTCTCCACTTGCCTCTCTATGGTGCTGCCAGTAAACGGTGAGCACCTGAGGCACTGACTCCATCTAGGGGGCTGCAACATTGAGCCCCAAGTCTCGTTCCCGAGGGTCTGTGCACCTCCTGAGCAAGTGCTTTTTTCACTCTGCGGCATTTTTATACTCATTTGAGTTGCTGCTGAGTAAGAGAATGCATCTTAACAGCTTCTTCTCACACTCATTTTATCTATCTTGAGCCTTATCTAACTTAACTTTAAACTTCATTATTTTCTTTGAAGTTGTTAAATTATTTTGGAACGAGATAAAACATAAACAAATATTAGTGCCTCTGACATATGTATTGCTATCCAGACCCTGCCATTAACCACACATAGTGAACTGTTCCTTGATACTACACTGGCTCTTAGCCAAAAGTCCGACAAGTGATAACTGTTCTTTGAAATAGTTGCCCATTCAATTGAAAATCATAATATGCCCAAATCTTCTAATTATTGGGAATAAGAGTTCTTATTCTGGCAATTACCATAAATCAAAATGATCAAGGATGGTTCTAGCATCAGCTTTCTGTATCCCATAACAGACTTGGATTAAAAAAATAAAATCAGCAAGATCAAGTGAAAACCAAAGTGTGAATCAAGTACGTTTCTGTGACAAAGTAGGTATTGGTTCAGATACTGTCGCAGCTGTTTAAGGCCCTTCTCTGAGATAAGCTTCCCCTGTTCCCGCTACTCCCTTGGGGACATGGTCCTCTACCTTCTTCTTTGGCTAGAGTTGATGGAATCAAAATTAATATCTAATAAAAGTGGAAGGATTACATTCTTCCATAAGAAATGTGGATTTTTGATTCAAGAGTTTCAGCTCATTTTTAGTGGCTGCTTAAACTGAAGACCAGTTAGCTTTCAGTCAGGGGCAGGGGAGGTGGGAAAAGCCAGTGTACAGACGGCACAGTGGGCAGACACGCAGAGAGGACAGTAAGACAGGTATAAAGAAATGACTTTAAGGGACGACTCAGATGATTAGTGGAATATAAACTACTTTTAGAGCTAAATAGGGGAGTGGAGAGAAAGGGCTAAGAAACTCAGGAGTATGGAGACCAACACTGGAGCCCTGGGCAAAGTCTTGAAAGCAAAGGAGGTCAGGAATGAAGAGTCTGCTTATTAGTTTACATAATCAGGTAATGGCAACCCATAGATGGCAGTCTTCCCTTCATTGGTGGTCTTACCAGAGTCTCTTCAACACAAAAATATGGATCCTGAAACACTGGATAATTTGAGTGGAATGTAGCAAGGAAAGGTCGCAGAACCAAATATTTGGTAAGTGAATATATGAATCTAAACAGTCAAACTTCAACAGAATAAAAAACATTATAATATAATAAATAGCATTAGGTTATAAAATAAAAATATGAATGCATGAGTATTTTAATAATACTTAATAGTATCTACTTAAAATACTAAATAAATTCCTTTATAACAAATCAGAAAAGCCTATTAGATCTCTTAATACAATAAGTCCTGCTTCTCTTACTTCCTGCTTGTGTCAACATTTTTGTTATGTCCATCTGAAAAGTGTAAAATCATAATTAGTGAATCTAAATGAATTCATGGTATTATAAGAAATAATAGCCTTATAGATTCAGTATAAGTACACAATAAACACAATCAACTGGCTTGTAGAGCTTTCAGTAACCTAATACATTATTCTTTCTCCGAATTCACATCTCTTAAGAGTGAACAGAAGACAATCTGTAGTATACTTTAGAATTAAATTATCATAAAAATGTTACATCATGTTAAATGAAAGAAAGACTTAGAAATTTAAGTATGAAGAGTTGACAATATTCTTAACTTAAAAATCATATTTGGCAAAGGTACTTTCCAATTTAAACATTGTCTTCTTATCTTATAGAATCATATGGGAAACAAAGATTCCCCCGCCTTTTTTCTATCACGTAAAAATCTGTTCTTCAAGCTAAATATAACCAGAAGACTCCAGGATTAAGGCAAGACACGTTTGATGAAATGTTTAAGATGTTAACACTTAAAAACAGATAGACAATTAAATATACTGTGATGGTACAAAAAACCAGACAAATTGATAGCAAAGCCTTCATTAGGTTATAAATTAATAACAGCAGTTAAGGTAGTGGCACCAAAAAAAAAAAAAGGTTTCTACAATTCACATAATACTTATTGCATTGAAGGGCTTTTTTTAAGGCCAATCAGCATTCACCACCAAGATGTTATTACTTCCTCTGACTCACTTTCAATGTCTTCTAGTTTTGAATATTTTCAGCTTTTTTCTTGATGGAGGTTTTTCTTTGTTTTATTTCATTATTATTGATAGTTTGGTTTTCTTGTGGGTTTTTTTTGGGGGGGGTTGTTTTTCTGTAGTATATGAAATAGGAGGGGCGTGACCAAGGGTAATGTAACCAAGAGGAATTACTGAAACCCAAATGAAGGCTCAGCATGATAGTGGGACAAGAGGAAAGTCAAAGGAAATAGAGGAAAGAGCTAGGAGGCAAAGAACACTTATAGAGGTCTAAATAAATGCATGTACATGTGTACATACATTTATATATGATGGTGGGGAAATAGATTTATGTACATATATTCTAGGTTTAGTATTAAGGTAGCAGATGGACATTGGGCCTCCACTCAAGTACTTGCTCAATGCAGGAATACTTTGTTCTATTAAAGTGGCATTCCATGATGCTCACCTCCCCCATCCGATCACTGAAGACAAATGGGTACATAAGTAAATGTGGTGAAGAAAGCTGATGGTGCCCGGCTATCAAAAGATATAGTGTCTGGGGTCTTAAAAGCTTGAAGGTAAACAAGCAGCCTTCTAGCTCAGAAGCAACTAAACCCACCTGGAAGAAGCACACCAGCCTGTGTGATCACGAGGTGCCAAAGCGATCCCATTCAGTCTTAGGTAGGGTCGTAGTATAGACTCACTGGTCTCCTGCTTAAAGCCACTTGGGGGATCTTCTTATTTACGGCCATTTGACTCCTTTCCAGACAGCCAGTTGAACATAAAAGATTTATTCTCCATCCCCTCTATCTACCACTAACTAGTTGCAAGACTCAAGGGCAAGTGATGTGATCAATTGACTTCCTCCTTTGCAAACTCAGGGGTCTGTAACAAATAAAATGCTATAGCGTCTTTTCATTCTGGAATTTTGTTTCCAAAATCCACTCCAGAATTCTTGTTAAAACCAAGTTTTCTAAGGCCACATGAAACGACCTTGGTTTATACAAGGTGTGTTTACTCATGCAAACTCAGAGATACCTACGGCATTTTCCCATGGTGTAACAGTATTCTGAGATAAGCGAAAACTTCAAACATTTGTAGAAAATAAAGTATTTAGAAAAATACAGACACATATTACCCCCTCTTCTAATTTCCATGGTTTATTGTGACAGTCACATTCCCATGTATAGATTTTATATTTTGGTAGTGAAGGAAACCTGCAATGACCTGTCCATCATCGTGCCCAGTCACATTCTACAACCAGCACACATCTCTCCCTTTCTCGGCCCCCAACCCCCACCTTCCTCTCTCCAGCCCGAGTAGTAAGCTCTCTGAGGAGATGTCCTAATGAAACCTGCAGCCCCATTCTCTTACCATCAGCCTGCATGCCACCTACTTCCCACTCCTGTACCAAAATGCAGGTTTTCTTATCACACGCCAAAAAATGAAGGGTCCAAAACTGTCCCTACAGAATGCAGTGGTGGCACTGTCTACTGCCTGGTGGATTCCGACCCATAATGAGCCTATCTGGCCGAGCATGATATCAACTAAGAGAATGTGGCCCTGCGGACGAGAAGCCATCTTACCTGGGCAAGCTTACGCTTTTCTAGGGGTTCTCCCTTTTCACTGTGCAACGTGTACACCGGGGTGTATTGGACAGAACCAGAGCAGGCCCCATAATCTTCTTCATTTTCCTACACATGAAGAAATATCCAAGCACTTGTTTTAAAATACTATTTTTATTACTACAGTTACATGATTAATATGCATACCATCTGACAGACACACATAAAATAATATTTCAAGTATAAGTTTAAGGAGTCTACTAAAGTAAATGTCTTTTTAAAAATAAAATGAACTATTAATTTCCAAAATAAGTTCTCAGTATTTTGAATAATTGGGATAAAATTTTCATGAAAATCATTTTATACAGGGGAAATATTAAGTCATCCTTATTCTCTGCATAGATAAATGTAATCAAATCAAATACACTCAATACATAAAAGATTCACACAAAATTCGCTGAGGCAAATGCTCATGTACGCTCTTGTACACTTCAATTTAAAGCAACTACTATTTGAAAACCCAAGAAAACTAAACAACTGGACTCCTAGCTCAATTCTACACAAGACTTTCCCCCCCAAAATTCTCAGCTTGAAGCAAGCACTTCAATTGTGATATCAAGGCAATCAAGTTTATGAAAACATACATCCTGTTAAAGTGCCTTTGAAAAGCTCTGTAGTTCTGTGATGAAATATGCAAACAATAAAGAGATTATTCAGGAGATGCATATAGAATGGCAGAGTTGCCAGAGGGCTTGTTATGAAAAATACATTCATGAACAAAGGGCTAAGCATATTTCAAAAGTCATTAAAAACATAAATCGCATGTGATTTGTAAAGTATAAGCTTCATACTAATGGAAGGATCATGATAGAATAAAATGAAGAATATGACGTACCTTGTGTTTTAGCTTACTCTTCACTTCCTTTATCCCCTGCTTTGCATGATTTTTCGCCTAGAAAATTATAATACAAGTGTCTGGCTCAGCACGGCACTACTGCTATTTAAAGAAGAAGGACCTGAGATCACATTTCATGAAAATTGCTAACTATTCAAATCAGTTAGGAAAAGAACAAAGTAGAATGTATTTTCAGGAACACTGTACCACTTCCTATTACATCTAAATTAGTTGCTGAAAATGTGGCTAGTTTATAAATAAAAATATTAACTACAGATGCACAGGGTAACATTCAGCCTATTTTGCCTACTAAACAATAAAGGGCATAAAGGGCGTCACCCAGCTTACCAGCACCAGACTGTGTGTGAAACGGACAAGCTCAGGGCAAAGAACAGAAAGCACTTTGTAGCAGCTGGTTATCCCCACAAAGTTTGGACTTGAAGAAATTCAGACAACTTTGCAAAATCTTATTAAAGTGAATTTATAGGCAGATTAATTTTTATTAGCAAAATCCTCCTAATGGTTTGTTTCGCATCAGCCTAGTAGAGTAGAAATTAAGTCAGTCAACAATTTAAAGGCTACCCTAAGATTCACAGGGACTCTGACTCCAGCAATCGCGTCTCAGACCCTGCTCGAGCCCTGCAGGGAACAGCTGAACGAATGGCTACTGGGGTGGGTGGTGGTGGCTTTCATGGAGGCCTGAACCTTTGTTCCTTGGAAATTCCAACTCAAAGTAGTCAGAGTTAAAACTAGAAAGGGAATTCACATTTTGTTATTTTTTCTCAGTGTGGTAGTTACATAACTTCATGTCAACTTGAACATACATAAAATGTAGGGGTGGTATTCAATCTGTCAACCAGATCACTGCCTGATGGTGCCTCCTTGTGGGCATGGCCTTCTCATAAGAAGCCCTGGGAAGCTCTCCTGCCCTCTCTGCTTGCACCTTCCTTCTGGCTGACCCTGATTGGTGCCAGAGACCTGTGATACGTCCGCTGCCATTGGATCCACATGACTTTGCACCCACCAACCTGTGATATTCCTGAATTCTGCATCACTGCAAGTGGCTGCATGAATCTGAAGAGGGACTTCTGGACTTGAGCTTGACAGGGATGGGATGTTTTCTCGATATATAATTACTTCTTGATATAAAGCTCTTTTTTATACATGCATGAGTGTCTCCGGATTTGTTTCTCTAGTCGACCCAGCCTACCACACTAAGTATATGATTATGTGTTGGATCTTGCGTGGTAGTACAACATCCTTATAAAGCTAGATGTTGTGATAAATAAATAATAAAGTTAGTATTATTATTGCTCCATTGTGCAAAGGAAAATGGGGAAAGTGGCTTAAAGAGGATCAGTCCATACAATCATGATTCAAACCTCAGGTACATTTGATTCCAAAGTCAAATTCCTTTCCACCTCAGAAGAGAGAAACTAAGGTTATTTAAAAATAAATGGACTGAATGTATGCCTTTTGGCACAGGGTATGAATTGCTGGAGTGTTAAGTGGTAGAGAAGCAGTTCAATTCTACCAGTCACTCAGTGGGAAAACATGAGGCTTTCTACTTCCCTAAAGATTTTCTGCCTCGGCACCCCTATTGAGTAATTCTACTCCATGCAAGTGGGCTTCTATGTTTGGCATAAAATCCACAGCCATGAGACGAGCTTCATCCGGAAGACATAAAAACTAACGGGATGCACTCAAGACCTAACTGCAAGTCCTTGCTGCTTCTACGGACCACCTACTTTTCTCAAGCTGCGTCCAGAAAGAGTCATGTCCTTCCTTCCCACGCTTCTTGAGGGGAAGATCTTATATCTCTATTACTATCCGTAGTACACACCAAAGTATTTGGCATATGGTACCTCCTTGAGAAATATAAAAAATTAAACTGAACAATTATTTTTAGTGTAAATTAGACAAAACCATTACATCTTACACATCATAAAAAACAATCTGAAAGGTCAAATAACACTTTCCATGGTTCTTTGCAGTCAATAACACATTTTTATATTCATGATTTTCTTCATAAAGCTACTGCTATTTTTTTTTAAATCCCTTTTTACTTAAAAAACAAAAACTCACTGTCATCCAGTTGACTCTGACTCACGGTGGCCCTAGAGAACAGAGTGGAACTGTGCTTGTGGGTTTCTGACTGTCCATCTTTACAGTAGAAAATTTCGTCTTTCCCTCAAAGTCCTGACCTTGCAGTTTGCAGGCCAACAGGCCACCCATGATGCCACCATGGCTCCCAGTTACTGACTAGAGCCTGTATTAATCTCTACATTTCAGTGAGATAAAATAAAATCATTACCAAGAGAAAATACTTTCATTCCTACCTTCTAGGATTTGTATGTAGCTACTATTGCATTTGAATTGTGGTGCTGCAGAAGAATATTCAAAGTCCAATGGCCTGCTAATCGAACAAACTCCTCTGTCTTGGAAGAAGCACAGCCAGAGGAAAGAATGGGGAGATTTCGCCTTACGTACTTTGGACATGTTGTCGATAGAGACCAGTCCCTGGAGAAGGACACCATGTTTGGTAAAGTAGAGGGGCAGTGGAGGAGGGAAGGCCTCCAAGCGGAGGGATTGATACAATGAGCTAAAACACAGGAACAATTGTGAAGAGAATGCAGGTTCGTGCAGGGTCAGAACTGACTCGATGGTACCTAACAACAACACCTTTTGCTCACAACTGAAGTACAATTCAGCTTATGTAACCATCTCTACTATCAAAACCTTTCTGATTCACACGAATCTTTTCAGATGCTCCTTAGTGTATGTAGTTGAGTCTGGTGTTGACTTCACCCATCATTCTATAATCTGCGTACTGATTCATTTAAATACCTCTTCTCTAGTTTCCCTTTGACTGTTTCATGACTAATGTGGAGCACAGGTTCTCTTTACCTTTTCAATTTACCAAACTGGATCAAAACAGATTGAAACTTGCCAGTGTTCAAGGAATCTCTACAGAAAAACACCAAGAAAATGGTTTTGTGTGAGAATTTAAAATGCAGACTTAAGAAAGTTTGCTTAGAAAATCTTTTTGCCACATCAGGTATGCACTTCACTGTACTGTTTTCCATAAATTTGTGAGAAATTACACAGGCCAACTCAAGTTTTTTTAATGGCTACTGTATCCATGGGGGAAAATCTGGTTATGAAACATTGTTTACATCGGCACATACTGATCAGTACTTCTAGATGTACTAATCAGTTCAAAGCACACGACAGCCCAACAGGGACAGAAACACAAAAGCAAGGGCTTGTTGTTAGGTCGGGTGGCCATTCGGTTTTGACGCACAGTGACCCGGAGGCACAACAGGATGAAACACTGCCCAGTCCTGTGCCAGCCTCCCAACTGCCATGTTTGAGCCCACTGTTGCAGACAGAGTCAATCCAGCTCCTGAGGGTCTTTCTCTTTCCCACGCACCCTCTACTTTACCAGCATGGAGTCCTTTGCCAGGGACTGGTCTCTCCTGATCACTTGTCCAAAGTATGTACGAAGTCTCCCCCCCACATACTCCCTTGAGAATAAGGGACCTTTGGATTGTACGTCTTATTTTTTTTATTCACAGTAAAATACCTAGTTCGTGATAGAAACTTGAGTGTTTTGTTTAATAATTGAAATACAGGTAAAAACAGTGTCCTTGATTTTTTAAAATACATTAGCTACAGAAAAGAAAGGAAAATATTGTTATGCCTATGCCATAGAAATTAGGAATATTGTTTGAAGAAATATATGGCCTAAGGAAGAACTTCAGACTATACGCCATTCTCCAGGTTGGCACAAGAAACCTAATTGTCACACTCACCTTTTGAGGGCTATGAGTTATTTTCAGTTTGAGGCTATTATGATTACAGCTGCTATGATTATCTATAGAAAAGTCTTTGTATGAGCATAGGTTTTATTTCTCTCATGAGCAGAATTTCTAAGACACCTGATATGGGGACCTTTAACTACTGACAATATGAGAGTACCAGTGTTGAAAAAGAGTGCTTGCCAATCTGTGGTGCTATCAGTCTGTTAAAGTCTCGTTGTAATGTTCTACTTGTATTTCCCTCAATAAATAATTATGTTTTGTATCATTCAATATGGAAATTTTTAAAAAAAGAATATATGCCATTTTGGAAAGTCAAGTTTAGGTACAACATATAGGACAATGATCTCAAGATTAGATCTTAAAAGTGATTGAGTATGTCTTGAAGCTATTTATTTTACATTATTTGCAAGAATAATTCTCCACAGAGAGAATTCTTAATTTAGGAACATTTTGCTGCTTTGATGAACAGGATCTGAAATAGCATATTCAACTGATTAGAAGGATAAAGTTATAAATAACCAATGAGAGTTTGAAAATGTTTGCTTTATCTTTGTGCTTTTGTGGAAGAGTATGGGTGAGAATAACAGACGAATGGATTAAAAAACTGTGGTACATACATACAATGGAGTACTATGCATCACTAAAAAGCAGCGATGAATGCATGAAGCATATCGCCACATGGGAAGAACTGGAGGAAATAATGCTAAGCGAAGTAAGCCAAGCACAAAAGGTAAGTTTATATATATATATGTATATATATATAAAAGAAAGAACAGAAAGGTAAATGCAAAAGAAGCACAAGGAAAAAGCTACAGTAGTATACAAACACTCTAAGGGCAAGGTTCAGGTAGTATGGCAGGTGCCAGACCAAATCCAGGGGTACATAGGGTAGCCAACCACAAAGGGGAGGGGAGGGAACACGGGAAAGGAAAAAAAAAAAGGGATATGTGACTGGAGAATAGGACACTGACCACCCAAGGGAAGGGTATTGTTTGTGTCTTCACAGGGAAAGAGGGACCAGATTTAAGCCAGTGCCAGATGAATGCAGCTTGTGGGGAAGGAGTGGGGAGCCAGCGGAGGGGTCTAAGGGCTCAGCCCCCATGCCAGCTTCGTGGACAACTGCCCCTCCCCACAGAAGAATTTACTTGAGAGGACGGCAGTGAAGCTGCAGCTCTGAGAGAGGGGCATGTCTGACCAGAGCAAATGGGAGCACTTAGGGGGAGGAAGAGAGTGGAGAGCATCCTGACGCACCAGGCCTGGAGGACGACATCCCCGTTCTGAACAGCCAATGGACAGAGTGGACAATATGGCTGATCCCACCACAAGACACGCCATCCCTTGATGGCCCCGGGCTCTAAGGGGGACAACACTGGAGACTGTGTCTGGACTGACTCAGACTGACCCTGAGACACCGAGGCAAACCACTGAAAGCGTGCGGCAGAGCAACCGTGGGAGCAGAGCAGAGAGCCCCCAAGGGAGTACAAAGGACAGACTCTGGGGTCAGAACATGGTACCCCATCGGTCCTGACTGAAGGACACGCCTAGAGATCAAAAATCAGACCTTGATCTATATATAGGTTTTTCTTTCTGCTTAAAAATTGTTTTCTTTTAATTAATTTATTCTTCTATGGGATATTGGTTAACTTTTTTGTTGCCATCGATGTGTTCTCACTGATCGCCTATCTTGTCATGGCTTGGTTTTTGATGCATATTATTATCTCTACAGATCTATCTAGATAAGATAGGCTGGATGAATAGTCTGGCGAAGAAAACAACTGGACCAATGGTTCCAGGGGGACATGGGAGAGGGGGAGGCGGGGGTAAGGAGATGGTGCTGATCAACCCAGGGACAGGGGAGCAACAAGTGATCCAAAAACAGTGTCAAGGAGGGTGTGAGAGACCTGGTAGGGATTAAGCAAGGGCAATGTAACCTAGAGAAATCACTGAAACCCAAAGGAAGGCTGAGCATGATAGTGGGACAAGAGGAAAGTAAAGGTAAATAGAGGAAAGAACTAGGGGATAAAGGGTATGTATAGAGGTTATAAGACTGGAATGTATACATATGTAAATATATTTATATAAGAGTGTGGGGAAACAGATCTACGTGCATATATTATAGGTTTAGTATTAAGGCAGCAGATGGACATTGGGCCTCCACTCAAGCACTTACTCAATGCAGGAACACATTGTTCTATTAAATTGGCATTCCAGGATGCGCACCTTCCCAACACGATTGTTGAAGAAAAATGTGAACATAAGCAAAGGCGGTGAAGAAAGCTGACGGTGCCTGCCTACCAAAAGATATAGCGTCTAGGGTCTTAAAGGCTTAAAGCCAAACAAGTGGCCATCTAGCCTAGAAGCACCAAAGCCCACATGGAAGAAGCACACCAGCCTGTGCAATCACGAGGTGTCGAAGGGATCAGGTATAAGGCGTCATCAGAACAAAAAATCTTACCATAGTGAATGACGGGGGGATGCGGAATGGAGACCCAAAGCCCATTAGTAGGCCACTGGAGATCCCTTTGCAGCGGGGTCTCGAGGAGGAGATGAGCCAGTTAGGGTGCGATGTAGCAACAATGAAAAATACAACTTTCCTCTAGTTCCTAAATGTTTCCTTCCCACTCCCACTATCATGACACGAATTCTACCTTGCAAGTCTGGATGGACCAGAGGAGGTATACTGGTACAGATGGGAGCTGAAAATACAGGGAATCCAGGGTGGATGAGCCCTACAGGACCAGTGGTGTGAGTGGCGAAACAGGGAGGGTAGAGGGAGAGTGGGTAGGAAAGAGGGAACCGATTACAAGGAACTATATGTGACCTCCTCCCTAGGGGAAGGAGAACCGAGGAGTAGGTGGAGGGAGACGTCAGACAGGGCTAGATATGACAAAATAACAATTTATAAATTATCAAGGGCACGTGGGGGAGGGGGAGAAGGGTGGGAGGGGAAAAATGAGGACCTGGTGCCGGGGGCTTGAGTAGAAAGGAAATGTTTTGAGAATGATGAGGGCAATGAATGTACAAATGCGCTTCACACAATTGATGTATGTGTGGATTGTGATGAGAGTTGTATGAGACCCTAATAAAATGATTTTAAAAAAAAAAAGAAAAGAAATATCCTCTCTAGCCAATGATGTAATTTTAACCAGTGATTTCTTTTTGCTCAATATTAACTGTAAACTGAAATATGAGGCAATTTGAAAGAAAATTAGAAAACATCCTAAGTTACATATCTATCATGTAGAAAACTGTGTCATTTTACCAAAAGAAGAAAACTTACAAATTTATATGCTGTCCTCACAGCAGGAGTTGCTTTGGTCATTGCTGTGTTGAACAGTGCGCCTCCTTTCTGCAAAGAAAAACAGCCACAGAATTCCACATTGTATTACTAAGACATGGAATTCCACAAAGTATCACTAAGACACGTAATTCCACTTTGTATAACTAAAACATAGAATTCCCCTGTGTATTACTAAAACACAGAATTCCACAAATTATTACTAAGACACGCAATTCCACTTTGCATTACTAAGACACGTAATTCCACAAAGCATTACTAAGAGTATTGAGAAAGAACTCTTCTCACAAGGAAAATACAGCTCTGCAAAATGATTTCATGTTTGGTATCTTCAGATATAGAGAGCTATGTGCTGCTTAATACTCACAATACGTTCTAAATAGGACATTATATGATTTGGACTTTGAGAAAACATTGAATTTATATAAGACTTTGGCAACTTTCTTGGGTGTAGCCCAAGAGCCTACACCCAAAGCCATATAATTTTCTGCTTTTTCATCAAAACTCACAGAGTCACCACTCAGTCTCCTTATGCAGCAAAATAATGGTGTTTGGAGCACTTCAATCACCCAGAGCTAGCACTAAACGATATTGTAGTCTGCTCCTGCTTTTGCTTTAAGCTCCTTGAACAAGCATTGTGGCTTAGGAGTGACTGTTAATGTCATTTTTGTCTTTGGTCTTCAATCCATATAACTAGTAATTTCTCCACGTCTGCTATAAATAAACCCCAACTCAAACACTCATTGCCATTGACTCAGTTCTGACCCGTGGCGACCCTAAGACAGGGTGGAACGCCCTCTGTAGATCCCCCTCTCATTTCTGTTTACTTTGTACCTTTCAGTGGACTTGTGTGTGACCTTTAATAGTTTGGAAAAATTTTGTGTGTGTTTGAGATTAAATCCTCTATGTCTCATACCCTGATTAGGATTTCTGGACTCTTAACACAACATTGTAGGCCCATGGACATATATTCAGGTGAAAGTTACCCACATGGGCATTATGATGCACATGACTGCATACATCAGCATAGATTTGTGTTGCTTAATGTACACGAAACACGATGTTATATGATTTGGGCACTGAGCACTACTTTAAAATCTTATGGGAACCTACAAAGAATCAAGCTCACTGCCACTGTTGCTACTGGAGTGGGCAGCAGGTCACAGCAATGGGCAGAGGCTGCAACAACAACCAGGTTGAGAAGGCAGGAGTCCAGTGAGAGGAAGTGAGCAGGGAAGTGAGCCTGATGCACTACTCCATCCCCCTGAGCACCAGGAGGGCCCCCCCCAACACCCCCCTCCCCATTACTGCCCGCCTGCCCAGCAAAGCCCAAGAGCCTACATCCAGAGCCATGTAGTCAGCTTCCATGCCTGCACTGCACCTGTGGCCCAGGGCTGCAAGAGTCTGGGCTTAGGATGTTCAGAATCAGTAAGGGAAATTACAAACGAGAGTCCCTATCCCCTTAAAAACAACAACAACAAAATGAAGAAGAAGAAGAACCTTGTTTATAAACACATAAGGCTTCCAAAAAGTTCACCTGTGCAGTTTTGGCAAGTCTGAACATAATCAGTATATATTTGAAAGAAGATTTAAAATCATTTTATTGATTGTTTTGATATTATGGAATAAAATTGTAATTTAGAAGATCACTCACTAGAAATAATAAAACTTCCATTAGGTCCTACTACACTACCTAGTTTCTTGCTCAGGAATACAATACATCATCCTCAGTAACTACAGAGATTGGTTCCGAAGCATAAACTGCTTCCTTCACACCTACATGTAGATGTAAACTGCCGATAGTCAAGTCTCCCAAATAAAGTGGTGCAGTATTTGTGTATAACCGATCGCACATTCTCCTGTATAATTTAAATCATCTCTATAGTACTCAATACAACGTAAATGGTATGTAAGCTAAAATTTAAACGCCTTCTTAAGCGTTGAGAGGTTGTTTAGATATCTGATTGCTCCTCCCTCCCACCAGCAGGTTGAACCTGTAGATGAGGAGCTGCAGATACAGAAGGGCAACTGTGTAAGATGACAGTATAAATTTGCTTTTCCACTAAAAACCATTTCTCTCTAAGGGGAAAATTTTCATTTTAAAATTATCTTTATGAACATCAACAAATTATCTGTGTACAATAAAAATGTTTAAATCTGAAAGGATGCACACATTTCAAAAATGCAAACGTTTTCACAGCATATGTTTAAGGAACATTTCTCCACATATGCTAGTATGTACTAGAGTAAAAGAACAAATTTTGAACACTTATAATTACCTTGACTGTATGCACCCATTGTTGATATGACCTCGGATTCCCTGTAATATATTTTAAAAAAAGAAAAAAGATACTAGGATTATTTTACTAAAAATGAATCCATAAATCAAAATTCATTAAGAATGATTATTACCAGCATATTAGATGTAGCTTACTTATCTGCAATACTGTGCAAAAACAAGGCACTATAATAACTTCTAAATTGCTCTAATTGTTATGAGCACAGTAATTATCACTTTTAAGAAGAATCATTTTCTCTTTACTCACTTATGAATTTATTGTAATTAAATAGTCTATCTCCTTTCATTTTAATATTAACTTCTAAGGGAAAAATTCCTATGCATTTTAGATTAATATTTCAATGTTTCTTATCAATGTTACATTTTACAAAGTTTGCCTCTTTTGTTCAAGTAGTTTCCTTTTAATGTAGTATTTTATCAAAATAGAGAGTACTGAAGAGAACAAGGATCCTACATAAAACTTATTGGTAGACATGCTTTCTTAATCAACTTGTGAGACTTACATCACTCATATATCTCAATTAATAACTACCAAACATGGAATATCATATATTTTATTTTAAAATAAAATTAGATAAATGAAACAGATGGCAGCTGTATCAATACAGAAATGTGTTTGTTTATTATTCAGCCATTAATGTTTGAGCCAAGCACAAGGTGAAATTTTTAAAAGTTTATTTAGAAATGTACAAAATCTTGCAGAAAATATTTCTTTGTTAAATTACAGTATGCATTAATAGATAATTTAACTTTAATGTCATTAAATTTAAGCTAGAGTACCGACACTATTTTCTAGTTATAAATCTGTACGCCTGAAAGATATGCAAGGAAATCTGAAGTGACACAGCATGATCGTTATTTTAAAACCAGACCCACTGCCATCGAATTAACTGCCCCTTATTCTGACCCTACATGGCAGAGGAGAACGGCTCCTCAGGGTTCCAGAGGCTGCAAATCTTACGGAAGCAGACTGACTCATCTTCCTTTCAGGGTCAGCTTGTTGAACCACCCACCAGCCTTTAAGTTAGCGGGCCAATGCTTAGGCCAGGGTGCCACCACAATATAGTTTAGTTGAATTACTCACTAGCATCCAGTCCACTCTGACTCACAGTAACCCTGAAAGGCAGAGTACATCTATGCTTAGGGTATCTGAGGCAATACGTTTTATAGGAACAGACAGCCTCGTCTTTCTCCTCCAAGTAGGTGGTAGGTTTGAGCCACTGGCGTGGCAGCCATTCGTCCAATGGTTACCCACCAGGCCACCATGCTCATCTCACAGTTGTTAGCTCAAATGCTGACAGAACGTTATATTAAAATTGTGAAACGGCATATTCCATTATAAATACGATTGATAATTTAGTCAGAAAGATGGTGTTAAATGGTGAAAAGGAAAAGGAAAACACCTCATCCAAAGAAATGTTTTATATAAACCAATTTCAGTTAGATTAAGCTGCCTTCTTGCTTGCTTCAAAGCTTTAAAACTCTCCAAATCATAAGGGCACAAGTCACAATAAGAAACAAATGCCCGTGGGTGAAGGGAGACAGCGGACAGTGTAAAATATGACAAATCAATAATAATTTATAAATTATCAAGGGTTCATGAGAGAGGGGGAAAAGTGAGGAGGTGATACCAAGGGCTCAAGTACAAAGCAAATGTTTTGAGAATGTTGCTGGCAACAAATGTACAAATGTGCTTGACACGATGAACAATGGATGGATTGTGATGAGCGTTGTACGAGTCCCCAATACAATGATTTTAAAAAGAAAAAAATGCCCATTGACTACTCACAACTATCCAGGAAACACAAACAACCACGAAGTCAGACTGTGTTCTCCAAACAAATGATGGAGTTAATTTTAAAGAATGCATTACCTCTTGTGTTCCTACAAAACTGAGGCAGTGCATCAAGGCCCCAAAGGTTACCTTCCACTATTGCATCTGCACCCCTCTTCAGGCATACCTTATTGTATTGTTCTTTGCTTTCTGGAACTTTACAGATGGAAGGTTTTAGGCAACCCTGTGTCCAGAGCAAGGCTATCAGAATTTTTCCAATAGCATATGCTCATTTTGTGTGACTATCATGGTTTAGTAATTCATATATCACAAAGTTTCTCATAATGCTATCCACACTTAATAGACAACAATATAATATAAACATGCCTTTTTATAGGCATCTGAAAACAAAAAAAAAGTCAAAATTTGTTGTATTGCTATATTTTACTTTTGTAGTAGTCTGAAACCAAACTTTCAATGTCACCAAGGTATGTGTGTACTCAACATCAGGAAAACTGTTCCCAGATCTGAAAGCACTATCAATGGTCCCTAAGTTATGATGGAGTTCTGCTCTGACAAGGAGTGGTCCAAAGTTGATTCTGATATAAGATGAATGCCTCCTTTTTGTTGTCGTTGCTATTGCCTTGTATTACCAGGAACAAGAATCTGATCTTTATTTGCTTTGGGGGATGAGGAACATTACACCTGAGAATGCTAACATCAGCAAAACACACATTGTAACATTGTAAATATCACGAATGAAAAGATGTACTTCCCAGAGTCCCTCAAAAGGGCTGTTGTAAGTATGGTTTGCGGTAATGCAGATACACAGTCTGGAACTACCTATAATCTGTTAAAGCTGTTTTCCTAACATACAAATAACAGGCAAGATAGCCTCCATTTTTGAAAGCACACTACTTAACAATTTCTCTAAAGACTTCTGGCCTAATGGAATTTTTAAAATTTTATTTCTCATCTGAAATGATGAGATATTCAAAGTTACTCTATGAATGTATTTCACAAGGAGATTTTATTAAGAACAACAATTTTTTTAAACTGTCCTCACCTAACTTGTTCACCATTTTTTACCTCTCTATTTAAAAGTTTCATCAGTTCATAAGTTTTTATCTTGTTATTAAAATGAATAAATTTGAATCACATATTTAGGACATAATAATTTTTCCAAAGCATTCTTAAAACTGTTTTATTTTCATTATTTGCCCCCAAATCTAAGAAAGCATAAGTAGACATCAATTTATATGTATTGATCCAGAAAGCAAAGTATGTTTAACCCTCTGAAGCCTAAAGCCTACAGCTATCATAAAACATTAGAGCAATTGTAAAGAGGTCAGAGTCCATTATTTAGAATTAAGATGAACAAAATAATTGTCAAATCAAACTCACTACCATAAAGCCAATTCCAACTAATAGTAACTGGCAGGTCACAAAATGCTTTTACTTGGATATGAGGGGCCTTCAAAAAGTTCCTGGAAAAATTCCTTTTCCTTTAATTCGATTTTCCATGAATATTTTTAATCCCCTTTATATTTGAACTGTAATTTTCTATTCTAAAATAGTTCGTGAAAGAATGGGCTCTCTATTTTTTGAGGTATTAGCCACTGACAACCTTCTAAATAACAGCAGGAGTGGTGCCAGGATATAGCGCCTCCTGTGGAAGGTGCAACTGGAGAAGAGCTGCCTCCTCAAAGCAGACTTGAACCTAACGACACAGAGGGACTCAAGCTTTAAGACCACTTGCTGATGTTGCAGACTCAAAGTGAGAAGGGAAAAAAGACAAAAGGAAAGCTGTAAACACCCATGAGAAAGTGGAAGGTACAATTCACAAAGTATGGCTCTATGAAAATTGAAACTTCATAAAAACAAAACAAGGCAATACTTCATGGCTTAAAATCAGGAAAGGTGTGCACGAGGGATGCATCCTTTCACCATACTTATTCAATCTGTATTCTGAGGAAATAATCTGAAAATCTGAAATATATGAAGAAGAATATGACATCAAGACTGGAGGTAAGCATGTTAACAATCTGATACGCAGAGAACACAATATTGGTTGCTGAAAGCAAGGACCGGAGGCAGTTGCTGATGAAAATCAAGGACTGAAGGTATCAGCATGGATTACAACTCAATGGAAAACACACAAAGACCCTTGCAACTGGAGTAGCAGACATCACCACAAAAAATGGAGATAAGACTGAAATTGTCGAGGGTTTCATCTTGCTTGGATCCACAATCAATGCTCCTGGAAGCAGCAGTCAAGAAATTAAGTGAGATTTTGCAGTTGTGCAAATAAATGTAAGTTGTTATCATTATAAACACTTTAAATACAGTACTTTTATTTCCTGATTCATTATTCCTTCAAATATGAAATTTACTGTAAGACTATAAGACAGAGCATTTAAACTAGACAAATTTTTCTGTCATCATTTCCTAAGGAAGTTGAAAAGTAAAAAGGGCTACTCAGAGCAGATATTTTGTAAAGGGACAGCCCTGGATGAGAATAAACAATAATAAGAGTAATCTACAATTATTGCTATAGGGACAAACATACAGTCAAAGAATAGATTACTTAAAGCAATAGTAAAATATACGCTACAATTTAAGTCCATTCCTGCAAAGTAATCTTTAAAGGTTGACTCTTCAAATTTATTCCTTTTAAGATCTAAGTTTTATATTCCAACAAAATTTATGACAAGCGAGCTATTCTTTGGTGATACTTAAAAACCATATGACTATTTTTCTCCTAAATAGTGAATTTAAGTGCCAAAACAATTTCTAAGTCCTTCTTTAAAAAAAAGTGAATTATGGAAGTAAAAGCATTATTAAGGAAATTCTTAGCACTGTTTTTAGTAATTAAAGAACGTTTTCTCACACTCCAGGTCAAAATATCTTTGCTCCGCATGTGCAGACTTTCTTTCCCAAGACTTCGCTCCTCATGTGGATTTTCTCTTACAAATGCCAGAGTCTATACCAATGTTAGCAATTTACTGCGATTTATCTTAAAAAAGTAAATGGGCTAACCTATTTAATGATCCCAGAAAAATAATACACTAAAAACTAATTATCATTTACTAATTCTTTAAATTTCCTTGGTACCTAAGTTGGTTTTTAAAAATGAAAAAGAAATAAATGACAGACTGACCAGATTAATTGCAAAGGACAAAGAAACAAACACTATTAGTGCAGAGGATCTGAAATGTTCCTCTTCCAAAGTTTAGACAATTTGTTG